GCGATATGAGTATCTACAAACTATTGTTTCGCATTTCACCATTTCATCTTAGGATATTTTAAGGCATTTTTTAAATGCCATCTCAAGCAAGAAATGATGATCGCAAGCCATTACATGTCCTTGCAGTGAATGTTTACAAGTTTACTTGTATATATGCATTCTCAACCATTATACGCTTACACAATATACGACAGAACTCTTTATTGTTGGAGATATCTCGCTCGGTAATTACGACACATCAGCGAATCTTGATTTGCAAATGATACGCATAATGAAACAAGGTAAAAATAATTAAAATCCATATCAGGATTTTAATTATATCTCGGATAAAACGATCATTTTTCTCAGCCGATATTGTATTTCTACATAATTTACGCTTTTAAATGATTTTGTAACGTAATTTAATAAAGAAGTTTAAAGAGATCAGCAGGAATATCGATGCATAGCAATTTACCTATAAGTATTTTTTAGATAATGTAAATTGAAATTTTTATTGAATGTAATTGATTAAGAAAATGACCGATATTATGCCCGAAAAGAGACAATCTCTTAACCCTTCGTTGCTAAATAGGTATCCATTTAGGTTTACACTTATTTTACGACCGAGCAATCCGTAGCTGAAGCAATCATGATTTTCGTCACTGACAAACACTAACTGCATAATATGCGCTATGTACGAGGGAAAAATCTAGACATTATCCGTGTCTTCTGTTTTATGAGGAAATATGTCAAGGTAATTAGACGTTTCGTCACATCTTGCCATCCTACGAGAATGCGATGTCGTCTTGAAGTCGTCGAGAATAACTGCAGTTTGTATTATCCACGGGATACATACGCATCTTCCGGTGGAGGAGAGACCGACAGGGTCTAAAATAATCGTCGTAAAATTTATTATGTTGGAGTGCACTTCTAGCAGTAAGAAATACTATTAAATTTGCGTGATTTATTCATTGTCGCTAATGTGTGACAATCTTCGTATATAGTCCTGTAGTCTTTTTAAGTCTCTCTTCCTAGTCTTTCCCGGGGCTTCATACAAAAACCCCGCGAGCGGAATGCTTTCAGTCATCGACACCGAATGTATACTACGGTTCTAACCGATCCAAACCGGCTTTCACCGGCAACCAATCGCTTTAATTCTACCGGTTTCTGGTGCTGGGTCAGCCAATCTATTTTCATGATCGGGATTCGTCGAGGAGATTTAATGTACTATGCGGTCCCATGAGATAAATCGTTAATTCAATCGCCCGTTGAATCTTCTTTCGTACGTTACAGGGGCCAAGGCCATAAATTTTTTTATGCGTATCTGTAAAAAATATTGCGAAAAAACGACGCAACATATATCAAGAAAGCCATAGAATTTTGTGTTTTCTAGCGAAAAAGGCGCTTTCAATGAATTTTTGTGATTTATGATGTGATATATGTGGTATTTATATATGGCAAAAGCCAATTTGCATAAATTCGAAAGAAATCAGATAATATGGATATATACTACTTAATGCAGAGATATTATTTTTTTAATTTGTATGCGTATAATAATATAAGACTCTTATATTTATAATATCCCAATATATATATATATATATATATATATATATATATATTTTATATATTGTTTTTTTCATATTTAATTTAGAACTAATTTAGGTTTAATCTAGATTTAATCGAGAACTTTTATATTTTATTTTCATATGCATATGATAATAACTTGAGAAGGAAAAATTAAGCTGGTGAAGAGAGAAAAGTCTTTGCATAATATGAAGAATATATATCATTAGTAAAATTGCACTTCTCCATGTTTAAGCTACTGCATTTTTTTATATTTTTTGATCTATTTTCCATGTTGTATTTATTTCGCAAATTTATTTCTATATACTTGTCTCTGTTTTTTCGCAATAATTATAAGTAGTCTCTAATATATTAGTCATACAAAAATAATTCACGCGAGCAGCGACCTCGTCACTTCATAACAGTGCAGAATACATCGCGTTGATTATTTTGACGTGCGTTTGTAACCAAGCGTGTCTATCTCCGCGTCGCGTAATTTTCACTGCTAGTGACGCAATGAAATAGGCACGCGATTTGTCGGGCTTGCGATTTAAGTAAGTCTATCCGCATGCGTAACGCAATTTTAAAACTATCTAGTACATAAATCGATAAATTAAAAACATCTCATGCCGATACAGCATTGGGAAATAATTGTTTTGCAGAAATGTTTCGGTTACTCCATTGAAAGAACACAATAATAATAATCACGGAATATTTATTTTGGTGATATATAATTATACAATTGTTGAAAATCGCACCAATATTTCAATTATTTGCACAATTATATGCAATTTTTTTATCCGAGCGAATTGATTGCTGTTGGCAGTGCCCGATATGCTTTTTATTGAAAAAGTAAGGCGGTACTATTATTATCTCAGACACGAGTAGCTATTGCTTTTTATACGAGCGATATGACGATTGTTCCAAGAATCGTATTTAATAAAGAAGTCTCGAGCACACACACATGAGCGAAAATAAAATCGACTACATTTTGCTTTGATAATTTTTGAAATAAATAATATTTTTGTTATAATGGTATCTATTAAATCTATATTAAATTCATTATATTGAATCTCTTATATTAAATCTATTTCAAATTCATTATATATATTTTAATCTCATATCAAAATTTTAAAAAACTATTCGTAAATAAAAAGATATAAAAATATATTTCTTTATATTAAAATATTAATATAAGTATTAGAGTATAATTGTATAAACTATTAATATAAATATCTTGATTATAGTATAGGTATTAATATAAATATTATCTTCTAATTAGATTTCTGCTTTCGATTTTTAGACTATCACTTTCTTCTAGACAAGAATCTCGTTGCAGCATATACGTGAGCTTGTAAGTATATGCTGTAATATCCATTCTGCTTGTCTTTCATTTTTATCTGCATCTACATAAAAGATGCAAATAAAAACATGTTTCTGTTGAGATTTACAGTGTTTAAAATAGTGATAAATCGATCAAAATTATAACGTTACGCGAATAACAACATAATAACACAAGTAAAATTTTTTAAGATTTTACGTGGCTTCAGCAAGAATTATAATTTATTTTATAATTTATAAATAGTAATTGAACAGGTAGAACTCTTGGTCATTGAAATGTTAAACATATTATACATGAAATCGATTTTTTTTAGACAATATAATATTATAACCTGCCGTTATTACAGCTTACTCTGAGTTAATGACCATTTTTTAAAGACAAAAAATTTTTATTGAAATTTCTATTAAATAAATTACATATCTTGCATACTTAATATAAAAGAAATATATGTATATAAGTGTACGATAGTATCAGTGACAGTTAATGTTGATCTCTCTCCTTCAAGAACGGCAAAATGCGTAATCCGTAATTACATATTCTTTCTCGACTATAGCGAAAGAGCGTTCGTCACTCGCGGCAATTCATTGTAATTAGCATACGCGTCTGGTAGCTGATTAATATTTTCATATCCATTCACTCGTACATTACACGAGGCGCCTGTATCTCGCTGTAGACTCACTTTAAAGACTACACAGCCTTGCCTCTCTCTCGAAAGGTTACCGTTTATCACATCGTATTCACCTATTCTGCGATTCGCAGATTTTTGTTTGCGAAGCAATGGTTTCGAGAAAGTTGTAAGAATAGATTCCAATAGCATATTGCAATATACTAATATTTGCTACAGGTTGTATACTATGTAACATGTTTAACATGCAAAAATGTTTAAGTGTTTATTGAATTAATAAGGAAACAGTGAAATGAGTAATAAAAGTTAAATTGTGTTAATTTAAGAAAAATGCTATTATCACATTTTATAAATTTATACTATTAAATTTTTGATTAATTATTCTTTTTAATCTCATCATAAAATAATAATAAAACTATTATTGACGAATAAAATACTATAGCTAAAAATAGATTGGTTAATGATGATTGGGCAGCAATTGCATAAATCATAAATGGATGCGCATACGATACGTAGAAGCGAGGTAATCTGATAGAGAAATATCACAGGAAACAATCGCAATATTGGTGTGAAGAAAACAATGTGTGTGCAAGCGCAATGCATACAGCCATCTAAATGTATGCATGCATCTCCATACACATGAATGATTTCATGTAATTGTATGTATCTTATTCGCGCGTCAAGAACAGTGACGAAACTCTCATTTAACGTGCGTTAATTACGAGTATTCACGTAAAAATGAATGTTTTGATTAAGTGTCTTCAATGTCGGCAGCAACGATATTGATAATTGATAAGAACAAGCAAACTTGAGTAATTCTTCTTTTATCTATTTATACAATAAATACGATCTTTTCTAGCGAAAGGATACACGCATATTTTTGATTCACATTAATATTCCTAAACATCGTAAATTATTATACAAATAACAGCGACTAATCAATCATCAACTTTTTATTTCGCCAAAGGACTATAACTTGTTTCTTGACTGGTTGTATTTTTCATTGAAATGTTGTTACTTATGTGCTGAGCACACTTTATAATGTTATATTTTGAACATTAATATGTCATGCAATGAATGTTAAAGATTGTTATTATATTTAATTATTATATTATATTTATATTTATACACAAAGTATATACAAAGTTTTGCACGACTTTCAAAAATTTTTGGCATTAAATCTATATATAAATCTATATATATAATTGATTTAAGATTTTGTTAATTATATATTGTCTATGTGTGTGAGAAAGAGAGAGAGAGAGAGAGAAATAAAATTTATATAATTAATTGTTTACATATCTTTAATGTTTAGTTTACACGTTGAGAATATTCATAGAGATATTTAATTATCTTATAACTTAAATATTCTTAATTATATTAATAATATTAATTGTAATTATGGAGGGCAATTGGTTAATAATACGTTATCTATAAGCAAATATAAGTAATAAACAATTATGTATGTTTAGGTAGTCGACACGTAAAATGGTGACATCGCAAAACGATGGTGGTAGAAGTATGGGAGGTGGCGATGGCGGCGGCGGCGGCGGGGGCGATGACACGGTTTATACAGTGGCCGTGATGAGCGGCGGCGGTTATAGGAACGAGGGTTACAAGGACGACGGCACCGACGGCATACCGCCCGAACCGCAAAAACCGCCGCAGCTACCGGCGACAGATGACGATACGCAATCGCGGAAGTTCAAGGTGTCGCGCGGCGAGAAATGGCGTATCCTGAAGAACATTGGTACCGTGTCGATCGCTTTCATGGTGCAATTCACCGCGTTCCAGGGTACGGCAAATCTACAGTCATCGATCAATGCTAGCGACGGCCTCGGCACCGTATCACTCTCGGCTATCTACGCCGCCCTGGTGCTCTCATGTATTTTTGTACCCACTTTCCTCATCAAAAGGCTCACCGTCAAGTGGACCCTCTGTCTATCTATGCTCTGCTATGCACCATACATTGGCTCGCAGTTCTATCCTAAATTCTACACCTTGGTACCTGCCGGCGTACTCCTTGGTCTCGGCGCCGCGCCCATGTGGGCCGCCAAGGCTACATATCTCACACAAGTTGGTGGGGTTTACGCCAAGATCACCGATCAACCGATTGATGCTATCGTTGTACGGTTCTTCGGCTTCTTCTTCCTGGCGTGGCAAACCGCTGAACTCTGGGGCAATCTCATTTCTTCGCTTGGTAAGTTTCTTCTTCTTCGGCAGAATTCAAAACATTTTGAAAATTAAACAATCATTATTATACTGTTATTGTACTCGCAAGTATAAGAGCAAATAATCCGTGTTTATTTTTATTTTTATATTATAAAATTGAAAATATATACGTTTCTATTTCATAAAATATCAACTTTTACATTATTTTTAGAGTATACCGTGACGATACGTAAATAGATTTATTGGACTGCTATATGAATATTTTTATTATTATATGCAATATATTTTGATGAAATTTAAATTAATATGAAAAACACATGTTGTTTTTTCCGTAATTTGCATTTTATGACACAAAGGATATATCATATATATGTATATCAAAAAGATCAAAGTATTTTGGACTGGAGAATAATAATGAAAAAATTTTGTAACAATATGTAATAAACAAGAGATAATACAACAATAAAATCTATATTTTAATGTTACAATATATTATAATGTTGAATTTTTCAATATTTGCATATAATTACATGCACATAATTAATAATTGTTGGTACTTCGAAAAAAATTGATTTTTAGAATAATTCTTTTATTGTTGAGATTATAAAAGAGTTTAATAAACATTTTTATACGTGATGTATCATATCACATTAAACTGTACAGAAAAGCAGTCTCTCTTTGCTATCAATCAGGAATGTATAATAAAGACATTTTCTACATCTCAATAGCATACAACATTTTAATATTATCACCGTCTGTTTTTTACGCTTAATTAGCTTACAATATATTCATTAATGCCGCGCAAATATGCTCGTAGAATATGTGCACAATTGTACAACGGCTTATCAACTTGAACCATCTTGCTTATCTTGGTCGTATGTGTATATACTATAATTATATACGTTATAATTATAAAATCGCTAACTGATAATGGATAACTGATTAAAAAAATACATCTATTTAAACACAAATCATTAATATAAAAGTTTTGAGAGATTTTTATTAAAAAGTTAATATAAATTATAAAAACATATATAAAAAAAGAAATTGTATATAAAAATAACTCATTAAATTTTTTTTATTATTTCTTACTGATTTTATTATTTTTTATATTTATTTATAACATAGTAAAATCATATTATTTTTATATAGAAAATAGCTTATATATATATTTTTATTTTTTACTGTCAAGATATTTTATGTGTATACATATATATGTTTATAATTTTTCTAAAATTCTTTGAAAGAGAAAGTCTATTTTTATTTAGTTGAAATAAAAATTTAAAACAATATAGAACTGTAGAACATTTGGTTATGATTAAATAAAATATTTTTATCTTCAAAATTGGATAAGTTTCGCAGTAACAAGTACGCAGCATATCCGTACAGTAGAAACAGACGTTACAGTCAGACAGTCGGACTAAGTGCTCGGTTTTTCCCCTGATTCGCATCCTCATTCGTTTTGCGTTCGTCATATATGTGTGTGTGAAAGACAACACTGTCGGTGAAAGACTCCTCAAGCGAGACAGGCCGTGATAGCGACAGAGAGCGAATCGGACATTCGTCGAGAAGAAACGAGATTTATCCGGTATAAACCCGTAGTAGTCGGTTTCCGTACTACCTCGTACGCATTCCCCGTTGCTGCGTATATACGCACACGCACACACATACATACATATGCTCTGCAAAATATTATTGTGTGTCGATCTTACGTATGAAGAAACGATTTCTTCGATTTCTTTGCTCGTCGAATGTCTAATGTATTCAGACTGACGTTATATTTTGGACATAAGCGACATAATTTTGTAAGATCCGGAATGGGGAATATTTTATTATCAAAAATTTGAATTTAAAATATATGCTATAGAAAAAGAATATAAACTTAAATGTGAATATAATTTAAAAAATTACAAATAAATAAAAGTATAATCTTAAATAAAGAAATGAAATTTTTTTTTCATGATGTGCACTTTCTTGGTATTTGTAGAATTTATGATTGCAAATTTATTTGAAATTTGTAATGGTGTCACACGATATATATATATATATATATACACACACACACACACACACACACATATATATCATATGTATATATATATATATATATATATATATATATATACATATATATATAGATGTATCATTTATATTTTGCTTCATAATAAAATTATTCTAGATAAGTAATAAGTATCGCGCAAAGATAAAAATAAATAGTACACATAATATTAAATAATTATTGATGTTATTAAAGGTATTGATATGTGTGTGAAATAATATAATAGTATAGCATAAAGAGAACTAGAAAAGGAGTGAATACTTACTTTTATAGAAAAAAATAGTATTCTTTATTCTAAATAAGTGTAATTAAAACTCCTCTTAAATTATCGCGGAGAGAAAAGCTGATGCTAGGCAATATTTGCAAATGTACAAGATTTGCAAAGGTCAAGATTGTTTTGAGTCGAGGTCGACGTGTGTGTAATATAATAGCAATGAATGGTCGATAGTGACATGAAGGTTACGGATTACAGGGTGGGGGGAGGGAGGGGACAGGGTATAATTAAATAATTCACGTACACGATGAGATATTTATAAAATGATTCGAATACATGTAGGATTTTTTATCCATTATAACATTGATTATGGAAGAAATCGATATTAAATATATGATACCGTATTTACATAACATGGTAAATTCATCGTAAAAAATCTGTTTCATTTTTGCGGAATTATAAGACAAATTAACATTTTAATGATGTTAATTAGAATAAATTATAAATATAAATATAAGCTGTCTGAGCTGTCCTGCAATTATATGTATTTCTTGATATGTATTTCAATGTTTTATTATAAAAAATTTTGATTAGTGAAGATTATTATTGGTTGCAATCTTTTAATATTAAATGTCTCACAATCAGTAAAATAAGATTGCGATTTAAAATACATAAAAAGTAAAATTTATTTTAAGTTTAAATGAATAATAATTTCTTTATTTTATATATATTGTTTTTTTATTTTTTAATTTAGACTTAAAAATTGAATTTATTAAATAATTAAAAACTCTTTTGTTCCAATTTTAATTAAAATTTTAAACTCTCCATCAGCCTTTATTAGAGAAAAACATAAACATAAAATTGATAAAAAATATACTCTTGTTTTCATATAAAAAATTTATTATATTTCTACAATTTTAGTATTATAGTTCTACAATTTTATTTCTGCTATAATAAAAATATATTTTTTATCGTTCCATATAAAAGATATAATTCTTAATATCTTTTCTTCGTATTTTTTTTACTTATATTTACTATATAAAATCTTACAATTGTGTGTAATTCGAGTAAATGATTTTCTCGTACGTGCCTGTACTGTTTTAAAAGCAGATTTTCCGCGATAATTGATAAATGATTTTAAACACGACAAAATATTAACTCTACTCCGGTGAAAGTTCTTCTGGTTGACTTGACGGCGCGCACGGATTAACCTACGTAGATTCCGTAATGACGATACGCTTTGTTCAGAGCTATCGATTAGTTTCTCTCTCTCTTGTCCGGAAAATGTCGAAACGCTTGTACGAAATTGCGAGTAACGCAAGATTCCAAGTACACCGCGACGATAGAGGCTGAAAGTCGTACCGTGTCAGTAGTTCCGGTCGATGATTTAACCGGCGGGATGTGGCGACCGTTAATTTTTTACGGCAACGTAACGCATGCCGCAACTCGCTCAACGCATTGCGTGAACTCTCGACGCATTTGAGAAGGCTTTACACCCGTCTCTTATATTACGCGTTAATAATATATAACACGTGTACAGCGATCGCAAACCGTTGTTTTTTCAAGACTAATCGTTGCAAACGGGTAGGTCCTAACACTTTTAACTCGACTCATCACACATCGAATATCAACGAGATCCTTCGAGAAGATTCTCTCCGAACGATCGCATTCGAACGCGTGTCGTGCGTTTCCTCATTGGCGACATACATGTGCGTAGGCTGCGTTTACACAGCTGTCCGGGAATTTCTTTATCTTGTTATTCGCGAGCACTTGTCTACCGTATGCTTCGTCGATTGATTCAATGATTCTTTATTAACTTAATAATCGGACTCTTTTTCACTGAGACAGTACGTCATCAGGTCCAAAATGTTTATAATTTTTCTGACGACACAAAATGCAAACATGGCAAAAAATAATACATTAATGATATACTTGATTTGTCAAGGAATTTTTCCATTCATACGCAAGTATCTTTACGCAAAACGACTTTGCAGCTGTTTTAATGACTGTTTTAATAAAGCAATCAGAACACGTTGAGTAGATGAATGTCTATCGCGTTTTTATCCGACGTAACCAGTCACTATTTACATCCGACAAAGGTCTTTTCACGCGTCGTGACTAAAGGTGCAAAATATATCCCGCGATATGTCCCCACTAAAGATAAGTGCAACCGTGACACCGATGTTCGGTGTTACCTCCATAAGACGCGTCGATGTGCGCATAATCAATTTTTCGATCACGAAACAATGAAGCAAAATACATCTAGCGCGCAAACCGCATACCCACAAAACGATTGGGGAAGAGCCTCATCGGCAGTGAAATTCACTTATGAAATATTGATTTACGAAGAGTCCAGCTTCTCGCGTACTCTTCTATCGCACAGCTCTCTCGCGTCGATCGAGACGAGGCGGCATGCCCGTTTCCGGTTATGGCGTAACAGGTCGACCTCTCGATTTACCGCTCGCACACCTTCACTGTGTGCAATTCTTCGAGCGAACTAACATAATCGACGTGGCAATATAAATCGTTACGTGTCCCTTGCTCAAGTATATATGCATGCAATTGCCGAGTAGTTTACATTGATACTTAATTTTATTCCTTGATTGCAATATGTAAAATAGAATCATTTTATAAAATTGCCTTATGACAATATCATAGAAGTATGCGGTAAATTTAAACAGTAGAATTAAACAGCATTAGCAATCGAAATTGAAATGGACAGGAAATATACCGTATATACATGCTAGATTTATTAATAAACTTATCGTTGATTGCTAATTAAAACTAAAGTATTGTTAAAAATATCCTTATTTTTTTACTATCAATGCTTCTTGAATAAAAAAGTACCATGCTACTTATACTACTTTTGAATTAGAAATATTATAATATTCTGCAATAATTATTTCTTCTTGTTTAGAATATTAATATGAAAATGGTGAGTATTGTAAGAGGCAATAATTATTTTTGTTCATTTCAAATCATTTGTATAATTGAAATTGGCTCTTTTTTTAACTACGATACTAAAATCATTTTTTTCTATCGAAAAAGAATACGACTTTTATATAATTCAGATAGTAAACATATATTGAAATATTACTTTAAGAAACTAAATTTCTTAAATTTCATGTAGATCCTAGAATATTTAATTTCAAAGAGCACAAGAACAAATTGATAACATAGTATGATCGTAATAAAATCTTTTCATAACAAATATTTTCTTATAGAAAATGTAAAATATTAAAATAGATTCTCTGTCTCCTTTCTTTTTCTGTAATTTTCCTTTTATAGAAATTTTTTATTAAAAACTAATATGAAGACATTTTGTTAGGAAGAGATTAGATTGTTTATATTATAGTAAAATAATAAATAAAATAATATAGATCTTCATATATAAATTTTTATAATAATATCGAAAAACCACTCTCAATCTCTATTTCATTTTTCGAAATAAATTCGAAGAAGCAGCTTAGCAGTGAAAGCGCAAACGTGTTTGAGGAAACGACTCAGAGATCACTTTCAAATTGCAGTGCTAAGCGACGGCGGACACGGTGGCAGCGGGGGCGGCGGCGGTAGCAACAGCACGACCAGCTGGGATAAAATCAAGCTGTGCGGCGCGGATTTTTGCGTCCTTGGCAACGGAGGCCACGAGAACCTGGAGCGACCGCCAGAGTCGGAGATCTATGAAATCTCGGCGATCTATCTCACGTGCGTCGTCGTCGCGGTAATAATCGTCGCTTTGTTCGTCGATCCTCTTTCCAGGTGAGTGCCGAATATGCCGGAACGAAAGTTGTCGCCGGAGGCAGGGGGATGCTAATCATTCGAGAGCGACGCGTTTTTATTGCCTGCCAGTATCGGCAGATTTAACGATCGTAACATTTCGCGATGGAATTGCGCGTCAGAATGAACAAGGACAAGCTGCATGAGCGGCCATTGAAAAACGTTAGAGAGTAATCGGGGCTGGCGAACCTGATTACCTACTTTTTGGCGCGCTGTCAGTAATTGAAGATAACGCGCCGAATATTAATCGAGCGGATTTACATACATCTCTATCGTATTGAGAGAAAAAGTTTCATTTAAAAAGAGGTGAAACGAGGCAAATTGGGAGCTATGTTTTCTTCATTTTTTAGAGGAATTATTATTGTTTAAAAAATCATAAATATAAATGTTACGTACGAAAAGAATATTATAGAAGAAATTGGAAATGCGTTTTTTATAAATTTTAAATCAATAAAATTCTTTGATGAAAATTTAAACAAAACTTTAATTTTTGTAAAATGACAAAAAGAGGTAAAGCTCTCTGTAAATTCAAAATTAAAGTAGTCAATTAGGCGTGGAGAGTTAAAGGTCGAACAATCGTTGCGATTGGAGTTGTATCTCCTTTAAAATTACTATTAGTTTATATTCTTTCTGCATTTAATAATCACCGCTTTCTTTCTCTGCGAACCGTTTTATAAAATGCTCTAACTTCGTTACTAAATTTGCGCTGAAGATGACTTAAAAATAAGTCGAAACGTCCGCACACATCTTTAATTCTTATATATATTATATCGGTTTTGTTTTTTGAGCTTGTATTATGAATTATTAATATATTTTTTGATATTTTTTGATTAATTACCTACATTATTAATTTGACCTTTAGCTCTCTACGCCTAATTGACCACTTTAATTTTGTAAAATGATTCAACGTGGAATCAAATCACAGTTAATGTAATTTTGCCAAAGTGTTTAAAGACACTTAACAACGTTTCATTTGCTAATATCTCTACTTAATATCAAGAGGAAATTTAAATAAAACCTCAATACATATTTAATTTGAGACATAGTTATTAAAGTCTTTCAGCAGTCGATGTAAGAGAATACATCGATTTTAGAGAGACTCTCTCTCTCTCTCTCTCTAACTCTCTTTAGTTTACGCTGCTTTATAATACATCGAAGGATACGAGCACTTAGTATTGACGCAACGAGCGAGTCCAGAAACTTACCGACTTTTAATAAGTATGGTTCACGCTACGTGTAGCGTTATGCAATCGTCACAGCCGGCACATCCTGTCGGATGTACGCTATTTCGCAATCATAAGCAGAGCAATGGTTACGATGATCCCAAAATGGAGGTAGGAAAGAGGGAATTCGGGTTGATGTTTCGCGGATCATGTCTATCAAGCTGTGGTTATATAAGACAAAAACATGACACACCGTGAAAATAATTTCAACTCATTTGTCTTCGTCGTCTTTGAATAATGACAGGAAAGAAGCGATCGTTTAAAACAACAACTTTTTGGACCGGATTTTTAATTAATCGGGTAATCCAGGTAATGTATAAGCATTATATATGTATAAAATATGTGTATATATATATATATATATATATATATATATATGTACATGTATACGTATATATGTATACAAGTTTAATTGCAAGTGGCTTATTGCACAGAGAACATGAGTCAATCTTTTTATGTACAAACGAGTCGGATGAATTAGATTTTAATCTTTTTTCCTGGGAATACAATTATGTAAATTGTGTGTGTTCAACTCTATAAATTATTCGAATTAAAAAACAACTAAAAATATTCAAATAGTATTTTACGTAACGAATTAAAAAGAAATAATCTGTTAATAAACAAAAATTTTGCTTATTGTGCTCGAATTTTGCACAAAGGGATGTGTATTTCGCTCTTTTACAGACAACCGATATTGTGCGAAAAAAATGCCCGGCTCTTAAATCAGGAGGAAAAATATCTGTCTCTCGGTCGAATTGTTGCATTATATTTAGAATAGCTTGATGAAAATACGATGCGATCGCGCGTGACGTCGCTATATTCATAAAACGACTACGCGGGTGATGACAGTTTGAGCTGTGCAATTCACACAGTGCAAAATCATAGATAAAATATATCATTGTCAGTGATTGTGCACACCGATAAGATGATTTGGTACGAATATGATGGAGGCAGCTTCCTTTGTTACATCCCGCGCATGTCATCTCTCATGCGCTATAATTGCGGTATGCTCTACCTTCGCAATTAGACTTCATTGTTGGCTCAACGCGCAATTACAGGCTTCTTTGTGATGAACAGGTTTTGCGTCCTACTCACGTGGATCAATGTCGTGGAGGATACTAATGAAACAAATGCTTTTTTTCAACTTTCTAGAAGTATTCGAGGAACCATTTGTTAATCTGTAGATTGCTTTATGTTTGCTCGCATTTAGAAATTGAAAGTAGTCCGACGCTTTTGTAGTCATCTTGTTTAATCGAATAACTCTGCGAAATAAATCTGTTTAAACAAAAATTATAGTACATGTATTTTTTTAAATAGAGAGGAGTATGTATCTCTTAGAAAAAAAGATTTAGCTGAGAATTTTTATTTTATTTTAGTGAAAATTTGAGGATTGGAAATTGAGAATTATAATTTTTTATATAAAAAATTGGAAACTATAATTTTTCATATAAATATTATTTATATCCATTTTTAATGACAATCAATTTTTACATCAATGTTAAATGCGCGCGTCCTTGAACATACTGCAAAGCATATTAACTATAATCTCTGTACTGGAATCTACTGTACTGTTTTTGTATTTTTTTACATCGATTATTGAGAGATAATAAACTTAAGATTCACTGTTTAATATTACTTCTCATTTACTCAGTTAATCGCAAAATATTCAAGCATAAAAAAAATTGATAAATCGATTGAATTTTCCTCTTTTTTTTTCTTTCTTGACTTTGTTATAGGAATTAATAAAATTTTATTCCTAAGAGATCGTAAGAAGATAGAAATGTGACATTGATATTAATTGAATGAAAGAATTAGCTCAGAAATATGTACTTTAAATATGCGAATAATATCAACATTGATATATTCAAACTCTATTTATAGAGCTGCTGTTTCGTTTATGCCATCGGTAAAATCATGCTTTTCGTATTCATCCTGCCACGGGAAGATACTCAAGGACGCGTTTGTCCGGATGTAAGCAACTCTTAATGATACGTTGTCTGCCAAATTATTATCAGGCCGTAGATTAGATTGCAACTTAACATTACAAAATCTTACAAAATACGTACTTTGGTTAAATGTACATTACGTTAATTACCCTGTTCGTGATTAATACAATTGACCTTCCGTCGCTGAGATAGAAAGATATCGCTAATGTAGACGTAATACTAACGACACTTTTATATTGAATACTATCGTTATCTCCGACTATAAAGCCGTGGATAAGCAAAATAGAGAGGAAGACCTTCCTGCGGATAGGTTTTGTTTCCTGTCCGCACACTTGGCCGATTCGTTTAATGAATTGTTTTTATAGATGTCTACGATGAAATACACATTTACGTTTTTCTCGTCGTGAGACATCAAGGCTTCATTCAATGCGATCACTAGATAAATCAGTCAGTTGGGACTTCTTTATGAAAAAAACGAACAGTAAAGTATTATGCTCGTAATTAAATGATATGTGAGAGATACTATTAGATTTATTCCCGATTTTAATTATGGCGTTACGGTTTTACGGTTTGCATAACAATAGATTTTCATTGTTTTTGTACACCGCTGCGCGAAATATTCTGCAATTTCTTATTATTTAATTCAATTCTTTCATGATAATATAATTTGCTATGTGTTCAAATAATGAGTATTACATATTATCTGTCTTAATTAGCAATGTTTTTTATATTTAAAATTAGATCAAACTTTTATAAAAATTTTTATAATAATAAATAATAATATTTGATATAAAAATGTACATAATAGTTGTATGATATCTTTCTGCAATAAAGGCAATCGACTTTTTGTATTTTTTATAACGGAAATTTTTCACGAATATAATAATAAGAAATTAATACTAATTAATTTGTAAAATTTAATTTGTAAAATTGTTAAAATTTTGTCTATCTTTTAACTTCTATTTTAATCTTTCTGTCCTTCTATTTTAATCTTTTTTAATATTTCGTAACTGATGAATATTCTTTGAGATTCTGAATAATTTTATTATTTCCTTTTAGATTTGAACATCCTTGTATTATGCTTATGCTCTTATGTTTTTTTTCCATTCTAATGACGAATTTATCCGGAACTCTGTAACTATACTTACACATCTTTAATTGCTGGGAGAATTTACGATGGTCATAGAGAGCTGTAGTTCGCGAATTGTTTCTTCGCAAGGTAGTCTCTTCTAATTTACGTGTGTTAGCGTGAGTTTTGATAACGAGAAACTCACAGTGCTAGTCTGACGAAAGGAAAACGATTATTAAGCAATGCTCGCAGTTGTACTAGTTATAGGGTGTTTCAAAAGTGTGTTTCATGATATCTTTAAATTATAGATTTATCTACATTTTTTATTGTCAATTTATTCTTAGAATCTCATGTAAAATCATTATTTACCGCAATTTCTAATTGCTAACATTTAATTTAATAAGATGTTGATCAAATCTAAAAAAAACATGTTATTAAATAATAAAGTTGCATTTAAAATTATTTATTGTTTTAAAATTTAACTCGCTGAGAAAGAAATGTTTTTAAATTATCTACAAATTAATAAAGGTAATCGATTTTTTATCTTGAATGAATTAATATCTTGAATTTGTCGAAAAAAAATATTACAGTAAGAGACACTCTGTAGATATACATTTTATCATAGTTGCAGTAAAACAAATGTATTTAGGACACGCGACGGCACGTACCGATACAACAACTTCCCATTTGTTGCTCGTGTTTTCGCTTAAATCTGCGAGACTAGCACTTCTTTGTTATCGCTCT